CAGCGTGTGTGGCGACTATGCCGCCTTGAATCATGTTTCCATATTCAATCTTCTTGGATATCTGTATCTCAAATTCCTTCTCGATCTTCTGATCTTCTTAACTTAGATTCTCTTTCTCGATCTTCCCATCTTCCTAACTCAATCTGTTTAATAAAAACTTTATTTCTAGTAGCAGATCTTAAACTTGTACATCAAACTTTGTTTCTAGTATCAATCGCTCTTAAGAGGGTCTTCGTCTCTTCTAACTCCCATTGCGTGTAGTTCTTCAAATAAGTGTCTACTGCTTGAGACTGCCATCTCCCCACTTTCATGATTCGCTCTTTACTCCAACCTAAGTTCCATCGTAGCGAGGCACCTCCCACCCTAAATGAGTGTCCCGACCAAAGCCCGTCTTGTGCGCTACTTTTTCCCCAAATCTGTGCTACCTTGTCCATGAATAATTTCTTCATCAACGGTTGACGGAGCTTTCCAGCCACAAAACCGAATAAAGCGTCCGACCCCTTCTTTGCTGGGATTTTTTCTAACATTCTCTCTAATGCCGACACTGGATCCAGTACAGAACTTTGTGTCTCGATCCTGAGTGATAGGATCGCGTTGGTCAGCTTCTCCTCACCTAATCTTCTTTGACGATAAGTTCATTTGATCTCACCTAATCTCTTGTGTTTCGCCTGGCCTTGCAGTCTTCGCTCTCCATAGCGCCAGGATTGCGACTTTCTCTGCTCCTTCTCCTTCAAATCTTAGGTCGTCCACTATCAGCATCCCCTCTTCTCTTGTCTGTCGAGTTAATTCTCCGAGTCTCATCATCCCCCAGAAGGCTACTAGACTTGCCGTCAATATCAATTCATCTAATTCATCCTTTCCAGCGAAGTTAAATACCAAGTGTAACATTTGTTTCACCGTAATCGGTAACTTCTCGGCTTTAAGAACTTCCCCTTCGTCTTCTGCTAGCAGTGCTCTCTCTTCTGCCCTCTCCGACGCTTTCAGTATACCTTTTATGATCTTTTGATCGAAATCTGGTGGTTTAAGTTCCGCTGCCATCTGCCAAGCTACCAATCCCGCTAGGTACTTCTCTAATGTCTTCGCCTTCACCTCTTGTTTTGCTGAAGTTTCTTTCCTCAAATTCGACGCACCTGCCCCAAACTCGGAAACCGTAAACGTCTCGATCTAACCTCTCGTTCTTTGAAGCTTCTATTCATGAATTCGACGCACCTGCCCAAACTAAGAAACCGTAAACGTCTTGATCCACTAGCGGAAAGGCGGTCTCCCATTTCTTCCCGCGGCTGTCGAAGTACTCCTTATACTTCGTTACTGCGCTCCCATACCCTTGCAACGTAGTATCCGCCCAGGTACCTTCGACCATATGGTGTGCGACTTGCAGCTTCGTCTCGTCCTGGATGTTCTTCTCGATCATTTTAAATTTGAGTTTTTTGACATTCTCCATGATTGTTCTTCCGTTTTCTTGGCTGAGATTCTACTAGGTAATCTGTTAAATCTTCTGGCAGATTGAAGCTGATTCGATTGGTCTCTTCTCTCGTGATGTCTGTTCCTCTGGAGAGTGCGTCCGCCTCGTTAGTCTTCGATGTAACCCGTTTCTCCTCTAAGTCACAATCGAGCTCCGCCAATCGGCGTTGAATCTTCCGCCATTTGTTGTTGACTGCGACGTGTTTCGACTTCAAGTTTTGCACCACCGCCTCTGCGGTAGTGTTATCCGTCAAGAATAGAAACTTCTGGCCTTTCACCTCTACTGTCCTTGCTGCAATCTCTAAACCAAGCCTTATCGCCACGGTTTCTGCCCACGCAATGTCTCTCTTTACTCCAAGAGCATCGGTTTCCGACCAGTTTGGCTTCAGCTCCCACTGGTTCCACTTCACCCCAATCATGACTCCGATTCCGAATCCTGTGGACGCGTCGCCTACCCAACCTATGTCTATCGCCTTCCTTCTAGGCACCAGTTTCCTGTTCTCAAAATTCTTCAGGACCCTCTTCCACCCCCAGAGGTCCTCCAACACGTTCTTTGGCATCGCTCGTCTTGCCGACTTATTCACCCATGTCGCTAGCCAGTTATAAAAACTTGGACAGAAACATTTCATCTGGGGCACAATATTTGTGAGATGTATGAGCCTTCCTATCAGCTTCTCTATTTTTTTGTGAGTGTGACCGTTCTGCCTCGTCAAGGCTTCGTCAACTTGCTGTCTTCTCATTGCTAATTTCTCCTCCGGCAGTCTAACAGTTTTATCTTTCCCGTTCCATAAGAAGCCGATATACTTCTGCTCTGTCTTAAATCTGGCATATTTACCTTCATTTGTACGTACGCCCAACTCCGCGCTCGCTTCTACGACTTGCTGCATTGACACCTTTACTTTTTCGTCCTTCCTCCTCACAAATAGGTTGTCGTCGACCCACCTAAACACCATTAGGAAATTGAATTTCTTTTGCATGAGCTCCCTCCACGCGTCCGCTGGACCACCAAAGCTGCCACACCCAGCTACACCTCCGAATGAAACCCGTAAGTCTAGGTATATCTCTCCTTCCGGCCCTCGTACCATTAGGTACCTCCATTGTGATGGGTGGATGGGTATCTGTCGATACGCCTTCTCCCAATCAAATATCCCGAATTCCAACTCTTCCTCGTGGTCTATCAGGAACTGTAATACTCTGTCGAAATCATCCCAGGTTGTTCTGAATTGTGTTTTATCGACAAATGAGTTTACTGACGGAGTCTCTTTTTCGTTTTTTGGGTACGAAAGGTTGTTGATGATGCGAATCGTCCCGTCTCCATTCACCACACTTCCTACTGGGCTTGTGCGAAAGAATCCTATCCGGTCATACACCTCGTCTGCCGTGAATGGGCCAACCATCTTTCCAGCCTCCACTTCTTTCTTAATTTTCTCTCTTAACATATCTTTCTCCTCTGGTGTCCTGATGTGATTCTCAGGTGAGTAGTACGTCCGGCCTTCTAGCGTGTGTTCTGGTATTCCTTGATGGAAACCAAGCTTGAAGCCTTAGATAATGTTCATGTGTTTCACCTCGACTTTTAATTTCTTTGCTAATTCAAACCAGGCCTTTAAATTCATCTTGCATTTAACGTCCGTCGGCCACGTTCTCGCTCCGCCTTCTGCGTTTACAGCTTTTCTCGTTCTCTCACCGTTGGTCGGCATCCCTTCCTCGCCAATCTTTCCCTGTTGGTTAATGGGTATTTCCATTTCTATCTCTAGTGATGCTTTCCCTTGGTGTTTGTTCATCTTTTCCGGCTCCTCACCGACACCGCTCTCTGGATCTATTGCACTCGATTGGCTAACCACAAAGGAATTTGAAAAAAGGCAAGTCAACATCTCTCCTCCTCGTATTCTCTCATTTGGACTCTCGGGGGACTAGGGAGTTTCTGAACTGCGTGGTTGACTATATCTATTGCATGTCTCCTCTCATGACTGGTTTCTGTCTACATCTGCTCTACGCGTACACAACACACGGCACTTTGGGACGGGACAAAAGAGGGGGGGGATGAATTGAATTTGTCGTAAACGTAGGAAAAATTCCGAGAATCATATATCTCTTTCCATCCTCCTTCTACCCGGAAATATATATATGTTTTCCTTTTTGGGCGTGCAGGCTTCCCTCTTTGTCTTGGATCATGGTTTCTTTTTGGATAGGAGCAGAGAATCCGGGGGGTAAGAGAGGTTGGGTGGAATCAATGACAAACTCAGGTATGTCCCTCGAACCCTTCAAGCATTATGACTTACCAGGTTGACTTAGCTCCACCTGTGTTCTTTGCTCCCCCAAAGTTCGCTCCTCCTTTTGAAGTCGACGATCCCTCTCCGTTCGGGTAATTGTTCACGAACGGTGCCCCATTGGTGCTTGTGTGGTCACTCCACCCATTCCCGTATGATTGCGTTTGGTTTGGGAAACTGAAGGGCCTGAACGGATTTGAGTTGTACGGAGCTGGTTGTGGGGCTGGTTGAAATGGCTGGTCATGACCAAATGTTCCCCCTGTGTTCGGTACGTTGAAAACGCTATTGGGTGCTCCGAAATAGCTGGCTCCTCCGTTATTCCGCTTGTCCCAAAGATTGTTTTTCTGTCTCTTTCCCCGTCCTCGCCATCCAACTCCTCCTCTATCGCTTCCTCCGCCTCTAGCATTACCTCCTGATGCAAATTGGTGTTTTTCAAATCCAGTGAGTTTCGGGGCTGTGGGCTGGATGGCCATCTGGACCGTCTGTTCTGCTAGAACCTTTTGCCCAGCTGCGTAAGGATTTTCTGCAAAACTTCTTTCCCCTAGAGATTCGGCCTTATCTTTTGCCGCCCGTAGGATATCCTCGTGTAAGACACCTGCGCGACACATTTCACGTTTTCCAGATTCTCCAATCCTCACCTGCATCACAAGTTGTCTGACTTTCATGCAATATCTGAGTGCTATCATCCAGCAGCCTGTTGATCTTCTGATCTCGATGACATTTTTCTTATGCTCTTTCAGCATCTTGGCGCATGTTTTCATGTGATATTGCTCCTCTACGTATCGTATAAACAGATCAATGGCGTCAATCCAGTCTCCGTAGGTCAGGAGCAGCTCCTCTTTCGGGGTAAGACCTGTGTAAGTGGCTGATTCTTCCTCCTGTAGTTCTTTCAGCGATTTCGTCTTCTTGTTACTAGCTTTTTGGGAATCCGCATCAATCCACTCCATGTTGAATACTGTCAACGGTACGTAGCTCTGTAGTTTTGTCATGCGTTTGTTGATCCCACTTGACAATTGAAGGAGGTTTGAGTTTGAGAATTGCTTATCAACAAAGACTATGTCGCTCTCTGGGTCTACTAGGTCCCTGATCTCTCGTTCCCTCTTCTGCGGTTTCTCAAGTCTAGGCTGCTCTTCTGACTTCTCCGGTCTACTTGGTTCATCGTTCCCAGCAATTAGAGAGGCAGTCCTTTGGCGTTTAGGTCGCTCGTTCTGATGCTCCAGAGGTTGTTCGACGTCTTCGCATTTCGCGGCTCTTAGGTCTTCCAGGTCGTATGGGACGACTCCATACGCTGCCTTATATGCCTTCAGCATCAACCTTCCGACTTCTAACTTGTTGTCGGCGTATGTTCCCACTATGGACTTCCACCACAGGTCTCTAGCCTGGTATCCTGTGCTCTTCGGCTGGCTTGCTACAGCAAGTTTTATATAGAAAGGATTCAATTCAGATATTAGTTTTCTCCCCTCTTCCGACATCTTGTCTAGTAGGTGTTAAGAAAATTCAAATAAAACATTTTTTTTTAAAAAAGGTCAGATCTAGCTCTGCCTGCCTTGGTTCAACCGGTTTTTGGTCATTGGAAGTTACTAATCTCTGTGACGTCTCATTGGTTCATCTTTTTCCAGATGTAGCTCTGTCTGCCTCAGCTCTGCTGGATCATCTATCTGGGCTATTTCGATAATCAGGATATAGCCCCTGCCGCCTCAACTACTTGTGTTGGAGCCCTCTCTTTTCTCCCCTCTCCGATGGGTTGACTAAGACTCTTTTTAAGATGATATGAGAGAAAATGATGAAAAAGATAAAGAATGTTGGAAATGCAAAGCGAAGCGGTTTGGTTGTCTTACGGTTTATTCGTATCGTCAGCCTTCCTCTCGGTTCCCCTGCCTGGCCTCCTTGCAGTGAATCTTCCTTCGCCATTTCCCCATTTTCTTCTTCTGACTCTCTGTCGTCTTCTTCCTCTTCTTCTCTCTGATCGTCTCCGCTTCCGTCGTTTGCTTCTTGTGTTTCCGGTACCAAGACCCTTGCTCCGCCTTCCTCTCTGTTCCGGGATTGACTCCTCGTTCCTGCTCCCTCTGTTCCGTCTTTCAGTGCCTCTTCGGCTAATCTTCTAGCTTCTTGTAAAGTTTCGTCAAATGTTGCCATTTCTTCTCTTGGTTGTCTGATGTTCTAAAAAACTTCTGATATAAGAAACTAAAAGAATTTTTAATGATGAACTAAAGATCACGAGAGTTGCGAGAGAAAGCGGTGAGTTGTGTTTCTTGATGGAACAGGCTTGTTCTGCAAGGGTCTTGAGTTGTATAAAATTTACTTTGTGCAAATTTTCCTTCAACTCAATTCTACAAAGAGCCGCATGCGCGACCCCTCGCTACAAGCATCTTCTTACATCCCTTACACAACTTCACAGCCCATGGAATTCCACACCAAGTCGTGCCTTGGTTGGTGCTCACACTCCAAGCGCAGTGGGCAACCACCTCATCCATTTTTATTATCCTGTCTTCTGTGGGTCCCCAAGCGCGAATATTGAATTGTACATCATCAGCTTGTAAGTTAGAGAAAGGGTTGTATGAGTCTGGTGGTAAATGTGGAAAACGTTGAATGTGTATCCACGTCTCAAGGTGATTTTCTGAAGATGTTGGTGCCCGGTGGTGAGTAAAGATTGAAAATATCCTACCAAACTCAGTGACTTCATGATCACCTGAACAAGATTTGAAGACCACAAAGCTGTTCTTAGCGCTTTCTGTAAAGCTTGAATATGTTACGTCTCTGTGCACAAGGTGTTTCAAGAAATGTGCTTGAGCTGGGAGCGGTGCAGAACCTTTAGACTTGTGCTTTGATAACAAACACCAGTCTTCTGGAAGCATCCATACACATTTTTCCTGCTCTTCTTCATTCAAACGCTTGATGAGAAGTTTCAGTACATTTTTGTCGAGTGGATTCCGAGTTGAATTCGACAAAGGCTTGGACTTTGGACTTGGAGGGTCATAAAGCTCTTCCAGCCTAGTTTTATACGGTGCGAGAACGTCCGGCAGCTTATTATCATTCATCAGGGCAGATATATTGCCTGCTCAACAATAATTTTGGAGGAAAGTCATCTCCAGCTCTCCTGGTAAATTTGTTTTGAAGAAACTTGTCAGCTGAGTTACTCGATGTATGTATATATATGAATCATAACCTTAGACTCACCGACATGATTATTATGACAAGCTTTGAGTATGCTGCCCATAAGCCTCTCAAAGGGGAAAGACCACCATGCCCTTACCGGTCCAAACCGGTCAAGACAGTCGGCCAAGTGAATCGCCATGTGGTGGTTTGGTGCAAGATGGCAGTGCGTGAAAAGAGCTAACGAACCCTTGAAATAATTTTGAATATGTAGTCAATATCTGTCAATTTGATCTGCACAGATAGATCATTTGAGCGCCAGGTTGACAAGTGATACAAGATCACAAAAGTTTTTGAGCAGAGATAGTTTGCTCTGATCTTTCCCAGCCCATAACGGTATAAGTATAAGAGGCAACTGAATGGAGAACAAATATCTCCATTCGTCAGCTTTAAGCTTGCCAAACGAGGCTTTCCCTAGGACTGGTATTGCTCGTTTGATCCAAGATGGTATCTGTATTTGGGGTAAAAGAGCGTTGATCCTCTTAAGCATAGAAGCATCAAAAACAACCTCATCCATTGGTGGAGCTTCCCACACTCCGTTCCATCCAACATCAGCTAGCGGTTCAAAATCATCATCACTCGTTGAAGTGTTGTCACTAAGCTCGATTTCCTCTTCATCTTGAACTTCTTGATCAGCGGTCTCAGACTCCTTCATGTAATTTCTTGGTGGAAGAGGGTCGGAGCGTTCAGCTAGAAGCTGTAGGAGCTCTGAAGTTGGAACTGGAAGGTGAATTTCTTCCTCATTTTTGACATCACTCATAGACCAAAATCTTCGAAGATGCCACGATAGTAGCCCCAGTAGGAGGTTGTGCATTGAATCCACAACATGAAAGTCAATGATATCCCAGTATTCAAGCTCTACAAGCACTGAATAACGTACCCCATGTGTCTGAAAAATTTCCTGACGCTCCTCCACACTGTTTGCATCACGAGCTTCATATGCCCACTTCTTGTGCTCCTCCTTATCACGGAAACGCCATGTAGTGGGGTCGAGGTTGTTGATCTCCTTTTTGATCAGATGGCAGCCTGAACAGAAGTTTGATGCAGTAGCACTTGGGAAGCCAAGTGAACGTCTGATGGCAGGGATATCGGCTACAAACGGTAGTAAAGCAGCCTTCATCAGGCGTCCATGCGGGAAAGAATAGGTTCGAGAGAGTAAGACTCCAGGGCTCCATATCCTCTGAAGCTGTGTCACAATTGGACGTAAATTCCAGTTTGTCTGCTCAAGCGATGGTTCTCAAGGACCAGGCGCAATCCCCACTAAAAAGACGTTCTCCAGTCTATGTCGAATCTTGACCGGAAGAGTGAGACACACCATAACAATGAAAGTGATGGAGACGTGGTGGCTGCTGGTTTTATTTCCAAACGGGTTGATTGCATCCACAAACATTGCAAACACCAGGTTACCGCTGGTAGCTGTAAATTGCTTTCCGTCAGGTCCTTTGAACTCTTTCCAAACTCTTGATTGGTGGATATCAGATATGGACTCGTCTTTATCAAATGGTTTTCTAGATTCAAGAAGTGATTCGTCAAGCCATTCTTCAATATTTGGACGTGAGAATAAACGTGCAATCCAATCAGAAATATCTTGTACAGCATACTTTCTTATTGCAACTTTCTTTCCTCTTGCAAACTTTAAGAGGGGAGCAAGACAGGTTGTTTCAGAAAGGTCAGGTTCGAAATCTTCTACAGTGTCACTAGTTTTGGTATTTGGGTTGAATGAATCCGGAGGCCCGCCAGGAATACTTGCAACTTGATGAGTACAGATATCTGGTTCTTCATCAAGTGGATACATGGCGAAACATTTTGTACAAAAGTTCATCAACATGCAACGTGGATCGATGTTCAGCCATCCAATTGCAGTGGCCAATGTCTTTGGAATTCTGGTAAAAGCTTAAGTTCTGAGCGAGAGAGCTCTCCAGGAGAGTTGTTTGGCAGAAGGCCTGTAGTCATTGAAAGCTCGATAGTGATGCGATGTATATCCATAAGCCAAGAGGCTGTTCGACCAGACAGGTTATCGAATATACTCATGATCGAAGTTGACAACGCCACGTGAAGCAGAAGAGGGTTGATTTCCTTCAAGCTGAACTTAAAAAAATGATCTACGGAGAAAGAGTATCATACCACGGCTTAGAAACAAATATCAAGTAGCCAAGCAAACTCTACCATCACGTACCGCAATTGTAAGACGGAATGGAGGAATCCGTTGTATTGTTATAATGTACATCTATCTATTCAATGTCTTCCGTGGTGACATTTGCTGAAGCCCTACGTTCAGTGGTACCAGAAGCAAAACGTGAAGAGCCCTGAGAGGCTCTTGTAAGCCTTGTACGTAGTTCTGGAGCATCGGCGGCAGAAGGTTGCTCGCGCAGATGCTCATTTGGAAGATTAAGTCGTTCAAAAGGCGCCACCAGATCGTCAGGAGCTTCTTGACGGGCGTTCGCAGATGAAGCAGAGGCTGAATTTGCCTCGAGAGCTTGCTTGCGCCGATCAGCAAGTGTGTGAGCGTCGCAAGTAGCGGGTAACACCTCAACCCCATTTTGAAACCGACCGGAAGGATCAATGTACACGCCGAGGTAACATTCTCGAGCTTTACAGCGACAGACAACACAGTGGGCATGTTGTATCTTCTTGGACGAAGCAGACATGAGACAATTTTCTTGAATTGAAAAGGGGAGATCAAAGCAGATGAACTGAACAACGTTTTTGTTGTTTTGTAGTTTTTGAAGGATTTGAAAGAAAAAGAATCATGATGGAAGGCCGCACACAAGAATTCAAGAAGAGAGACAGGAAGCGGTATATTTTAGTATCTTACAACGCCATGAAACAAGTACGAATCTAGAAGTATGAAGTCATCCTAAAGCGATAGATACCATCCTGCTAACTTCATACAGATACTGCTGCATCTTATAAGCCCACCAGCTACCCACACTTCACAAGAAAGACATGTTTTCGGAACTACACCATAATCTGACACATTGATTAGATTGAAAATAAAACAAGCGAGCAGGACACTAATGTGATTGATTGGATCGATCTGCATTGAGTCTTGACTGATTGGTGATCTGCTTTGCTAGATATGCCTAATAGAAATAAATTGTTTCAGCATTTGAATCCAGCTAAAAAACTATACGAAAGTCAAAAACGTACCCAAGTCATGAAACTCACAATGCTGGAAACTAGGATATGATCGAGTAATGAAACCCGGCAATCAAGGCTCCAGGCTCCAATTTTGCTGCCAGGATGAATTGTAGATAACAATCCACAAGAACCTGATGAGTCATGGGGATTGAATGCACAAATACTTGAGGCGCGTAGCATTGTAAGGCAAGTCGAAGCTCTTCTGAGTCCTCGCCACTGACCGCATTCGCTTTCAAAACTCCAGGTTTTCGGATGGTTTCAGTTTGACCGGGGATCACCAGGTCCTTATCAACATGCTCTTTGTATAGTAAAAGCAATCCATTGCGCCTAGCGTTTGTAGGTACGGGAGCGTTGGGAGCTTTGCGTTTGATGGCGTCCAACAGCATCTTTCGGGTGGTTTTTCGGCCCAGAGGATTGAAGTCAAGGTTTTTGTCATCTTGATCCGTTTCCATGGCAGGAGGAGGGCGAGGAATCAAGAAGTCTGAAAGTTGTGGGCGTAATTCTTTCTTGAAGGCAGCATTAAGATCAGCTTTGAGGTGAGATATACGAGACTTTGTCTTCGGGTTGAAGTGAACTAAAATTCGATAAAATTGGGCCTTCAAGATCTTTTTATATTGTAATTCATAATCTTCGTCAAGAAAGACATGGAGATCCTCGGGGAGCGTTTGAATCAAAGACCATATCTGGGTGTTGTGATGTGATGACATGGTCGCACGTAGAGGAGGTACTGAATTCGAAGGTGGTTCAGAAGGGAATGGTGGAGATGATCCGGAGGCTGGTTTTTCAGTCTGATCGCTAGCATTTGTCGGACTAAGAGGAGAGTTTCAGTCCTGACCACTATTCTTACGATTCTTGCTGCGAGTCATATTCAACAATTGAGTGAAGTATATATCAGGAGTTGGAAGAAGCTGATCAAAAGCTATATAACGTATAAATTGAACGGATAAATATTAATAGTGATCTATATCAATAGAAATTTATTCAAACTACGGTCATACATGGAACTTACCCCGGTAATTAGCGAACGGGCTAGAGGAGGGAGATTGACGAGACGATCTAGAATAGGGTGGAGCAAGAGGACGAGAATCAAAACCAATGGACCAATCTATATATAGAGCCCTATAGAGCCTTGAGCGTGCTAATCAATCGGATCAAATACTGATTTCGTGGTATCACTCATCTAAGGGGCTGGTTGCATGGAATGTCATGATAAGGATGATTCGTTGAGGTATCTTCGAGGAGCTATAGTTACAGGTAAAATTTTTAAAAGGGATGATTCGATCAGATGGATGACAGACAAATAAAAGGACAAAAGACTACATACCTCAATCTCCATGAGACAACCCCATAACTATGCAACATATTGACCAAACAACGCACTGCAAGTCATGTTGATAACTGATTGATATTGTAGCGGCCCATGTCCAAAATCGTATCTTGATGATTCGTACGTAGAATAAGGAATAGACTTGAATTTATATCTTGTGATTGAAATGTTGATCCTAATTGTACTACAGATTGAGTCAATGCGACTCCTTCAAGCTTGAAAGGGTAAACTTGTTGAAGTGAAGGAACGAGAAAACACAAAAAAAACAATATGACATGGCTCAGCAAATAAACTCTACTAATTAGAATTAAACTGTGAAAACACAGACGACACTTTTCTGTGTGTCTTTGAGGTAACTCACAGGGTGACCGTCAAAGTGCTTGTTTAAAAATATGAAAGCATATATCGCCTTTCACATTCTCAGACAGTATAATGGTTTCCAGATGAGTTGACTTTGCTAAATTGGGAGGGCCTTTGGGATGGATTATCAACAGTTTTAAAAAAATACACCGTGTCAAGACATCTGAACAAGATCCAAAGAATGCTAAAGGTAATTACCAATGACTCTAGTATGACTGGTTGTTGACTCTGTGGAACATTTGATACTGTCTTTATCACATTTATTTTCGTTACATGTCACATACCCAACACCCAGGTTGTAACTCCCCAGTTTTCTAAACCTCTTGGTAAATATTATTATTTGGGTAGTGATAATCATTCTGATACTCAATAGGTAAAGTGCACTTTACAACCCGGAACTCATCAAATTATCAACTTCTGCGCCCCTGATTCGAATTTCAACACCTCACACACGTGGCTCCCATTGTACCCAATTCCGTCATCCGAGTGCTTTTCATTGGGGCAATCAGCATTAACGTAATAACAACACCGTAAAGCGGTTGTACGCAAGAATGAATGGGAGCTATCCAAAAGTTTGTCTATTCAGGATTGCGTGTGTGAAAGCTCATTTTGGGCGGACGGGTGAGTTGCAAATCAACGATTGAGTTGAGAACTGTCATAACCAAGAAGACGGAAGACGTGTGATTTGTTGAGAGCCAAGCCCGGTGCTGTATGCTTGAAGGGTGGTGTTCAGGCAGACAAGCAATTGGGAAGAGACACAGTGAGGTCAATAGCTTGGGGAGCCATTCGTGAGGAATCACAAATGAAGTGGGAGGAGGCTTGAGGCGCGTAAGAAAGAGATTAAATGGTTGGTACGTGTAAACCTCGAAATTTGGAATAGGGATTGGGAGTTTTTGGAGTTTTGCCGCCGAACACGGTCTGCCTTTAACTTGAATGATATACTATGATGAATGTTATTTATTATTACAACAGCCACAATTGGCCTAGACATTTAGAACATCACTAGCATTTAAGCGGCGGGCGCCGCTGTTGTTCAACCAAACTCAACATATTTGATCTGAAAGAGACAAAATTGTGACTTGATCACTTGGCAAAATGGCACTTGCTCAATCATTATAGACTGAATCTTGTAAGAATAAATCAAACTTGCTGCAACAAACGTCACAAGGACCTAGAGACAAATTTTTGGATATGTGATTGTACAACCAATATTAATCCATAGATTGACCTTAGGAAACAAATCATTTCATCAAGTGCTATAAAGTACCATAGAATAGTGTTACTGCCTTTGAGAATTGAGTGACAATATCTTTAATGGTATTGAGAGATGCCTCCTGATTCAATATATTGCTCACAGAATTTACAGCTGAATATCCCATGAAATTTTGTAGTCATGGTTGGTGGGATTGTTTGTCCAGTTGTGAATCCAAATTCTTCTATTGATGAAAGGGTGCCCAAGGAGCTATCATTTATACCTCCTTTGATGATGATATGTCTCTGTTTATGATTTGACTTCGAGAAGTGGTCTTTTATCCTTTGTATTCTTGACCAAAAGGACAATAAATCAGCTCAAGAATGGAATAGAGAGTGATAGATGATTTACTGACTCAAACCAGTCAAGAAAACAAATGCTAATCCTGATGTGTTCAAACCTGGAAATTCATTAACAGAAGTAGAAAGAACTGAAAGTATCCACCAATAAATCTGGACTTCAAAGCACCAGTGATCAAAATCACTCATGCTCAAGTTTACCAATGATTTTCATTGTTTTTTGAAAACTCTTGACTGGATCAAATTATGAAGTGAATCAACCGAGAGAATTGTTGTGATTTCAAATCTGAAGTCTTTGATTTTATTATACAAATATCTGATTGGGATCATTCAGGTTTCTGAGGTGTGGAATTTGTGTCCTAAGCAACATGTTCTTCATTAGATTGGTGCAAAGCTTGTGAGAGGATCTAAAAGTTGAAGGTGAGTATCTACCTACATATTATATAAAGGAAAGTGGTTTAGGGAAACAAAGAGGATATCATGCCTCTATGTAAGGCTTGAATCCCATTTAGAACCACACTTGACCGTTTGGGAGATCCCACAACATCTCATTATAAGCCCCATAATTACCTTTCACATGTCACATCTCATGTTTGAAATGAGATAGTTAATGTGAGTGTTATGAAAATGTGGAAAAGGGTGTTAATGTTTCCCTTTTGGGAATAAGTTGTGTGTGATTTGAGTTTCATTTTTCTTTTTCTTTTTGAGTGTGTCTGCTTTTCCGGTGTCTTATTCGTATATAAGCCTAGTAATGTTTGTCAAACAAATTCTTTGTCCTTATCAAAAAGAACCTGTAAGTCTTTTTCCTTATACTAACTCCTCACCACATTATTATCACATTCAATGTAACATCTTTTGATTTGGTTCAAAAGCTTTGAAGCAAAAAATCCAAAGAAAAACTCTCATATCAAGGTTTATCACTGTTGTATCTTATGTGGTTGTTTAACATGAGTGTCAAGAAGAAGAAAAAGATGTTCAAAATGAGTGATCATCAATTATGGAAAACCTGATCAGCTGATTTGAAAGGTTATTTTTTGGAGTCAGAAGACAGTCAGGTCTATCACAATTTGATGCTCTTGCTTGAACCTATGTGGAGGCTGGGTGCCAAAGTTCCTCAAAGCCTAGATAAAGCCATAGTAATTTACACATGTGATATTCACAATGTCCAATGATTGCACTTCAAAGTTGGACTATCTGAGACTGTTCTTTGCTGTTTGGATCTTCATCTTCTATAATGATTGTTTGAATTTGAATCACTGGTAAGTTTTGTGTAGTTGGGAGTCAATCAAATGATCAATTGAACTATGATATTATGGATCAAATGCTTGACATTCACGTGGTGGGCGGGGTGCAATTGGCCTGCCCCCGGGGCAGGCCTTTTGGGGTCGGTTTTCCGGTTCGCATGCCCATGTTAGGTTTAGGCCTATTCCACCCAGTTACTGTGTGATTATGGGTGAGATTTTTTTTAGTATCAATAAATTTTTCAAATCACACCTCACAGTGCTCAACTTTACAACACATCCCCAATCTCAAAGCCACAGTCAGCTACTATGCTTTTGGATGATTTTTCTGAGAACATGGATTGGGATGAGGATGAGATTCTTGATGTTTAACTTTGATTACCGTTGATGAAATGTACAGTGGTACTATTATGAAATACAAAAGAAGCCCTTTCTGATGTTGTTGAGCCTTTTTTACCTTTTTTTTGCTTTGTGGGTAGATTTTGACACCTCAGAGGCACGCCTCAGCGCCCCCACTATAGGTGTGCCTTTGGAAAGTCCAAGAGCCGTGCCTGGGCCCGCCCTAAATCCAACACCTGTGCCCACCACATGACTTGACATTCAAGAGAAAGAAAAATAGATTCATTCCAATGAAAATTATATTGATATATTCAACATCAATCATTGGTATCCTGTTCATTGATTGGACAACAACAACAAAAGAAGCAGCAGAATCTAACTGACAGTGATTATGCTACCACCAGAATTAAAACATCACAGTACTTGAGTTCCACAACATCATTGTCTTTGTGCAGCGCAAGGTGCTTAAATGACAATCACACCTATGAACTATCAACTATGTATCACATCAGCTGTGCATTTACCTTCTGATGGTGTTGATTGCACAGCTTGATTTGCAAAAGTTGAAATTGATCAATATAACATGATTGATGATGTGGGTTCATTTGAATTTATTCAGTCATGTGGTTGATTAGCTATGATTTGGTTTATGGGATTGCACTTACCCTCTTGTGGAACCCCAATTTGTTAAGCAACAAAGGGTGTTCAGAGCACTGAAAAACTACTGTTCAATGGTGATACAGATGAATTGATTGATTTAAAACGGTCTAATCAAAGTCCCATAAGAAACATTATAAATGTCAACTTTACATACTGCTCTTGACCAAAAAAAACTTTGATTTCATTGGTTTTTCTTTGGGATCTGATTCAGGAAAGTGTTGAGTAACTTGATAGGTATCAATGTCTAACTTGTGCTTTCAAAGTACTGGTCACAAATCTGAATTCAGAGCGGGGAAAAAATATACTCAGCGATAAATCAGACATTAAATCATTTCAGATCATTTCCCATTTGATTACAAAAGATTGTTTAAAGTCAAGTAACTGCTTACCTAGAAAAATCTATTTCTAGTTGGTAACCCAGTTTCATGTGCAATCATCTCAGAGTCCAAGCTTTGATTTTGTGATTTTAAACCACTTTTCCAGGCACTTCATGCAGGATGTTGATGAAGTCAATTATATGTACCATACCAAGCTTTGAGATAGATTCCGGATAAACAGGTATGATCAAAATGAACTTTATTGAGTGTTCATCTTTGTATTCACTCATAGCAGCTGCACTTTTTTGTTTTTGATTCAACTGGATATTGTTAACCTCATGACAAATTGAAATTGTGATTGAATCAGTCTCTTCTGGTAACACCTTTGGATCTAAAGAAGGAAGATTAGAATTTTGGAGATTAGAAGTAAATGGCGAAATCAAGATTGGCAAAGTGAGTATGAGTATTTAAAATTTACCTATGATCTGATGAATCACCTTTTTGCTACATATTTCAAATTTACTCTACTTATCTTCTCACATGAAGTTGTGATGAAACACTTCCATAAGATACATTACAACAACGTTGAAGGTAGAATCAGTCAGATTAAAAAAGTCATGTCATCAAAACAATCCATCAACTTGAAATCACAAATCATTTGTTCAATCAATTGGTTCATTACATCTCATTACTCATCATCTCATTTGGAGACCTTCTGATAATCAACTTGATCCATCAAGTCAAATTCAATCTTCAATCAATCAAGCCAAAGAAAAAGAAGTTTAGGTGAGTTAATCAATTGCATCAAACTTATAATATGGCCGGAAACTGATTAAATATCTAAATCATACTTTACAATCAGTTTACAAATGCACTCATTGCCACCGTTCAGTATTTTCCATCTCAACCAGAGCCAAATGTCTCAATCAGTTTGGTAAACTTTATCCATTATACTGTTACTTTTATTTTGGGTTGATTTGGATGTGGCGAGGGATTGGAGGTGATCTGAAATATGATGGTGTAGTTGGAGTGGATTGATTGGGATCCAAAAAGCAGTAGCTACTTCATCGGATCCAGTTTCTAATTTGAATTCTAGATCATCTTCAATTGTCTTTGAATAGAGATAAATGTACCCAAATAAAATTATTGATAATCTTTTACCCATGAAGCGGTGATTTATCTATTATCTAATTGACTGATTGATATAAAATCTTTTTTGCTAAATCAAGTCCAACTTCCTCAAATGGTTTTCGGAATGCGCAAAATTGCAAAACTTCATCCTCTGGTTCCATACGTCCACATGGAACTGTGAAATGTGATGACCAGATATCGTGTCATCTTTTTATGAATAAGATTTTGTCTTTTGTGTTTTGAATCCATGATTTTGAGAGTTTGTTCATTTGAAATCAAATTTACGTATGGTGTTGAATTACTAATTGGAATGGACGCTTAGGTTGAAATTGATATTCTTGAATTTCATTCAAATTAAATTTTGTATGATTCTAAGTTTTTCTTGGTGCAAAGTCGAGTTAATTGAAGAAGATGAAGGATGGTGATTGAGGTGAACTTGATGATATAGTAGTAGATGGGGTGAAATCAGGTTTAATTCAAATAACTATTTTCAGAAAACTAAGATTCATTGTTAGATCTGTTGTCAAAAATGATGATATCATCAGAAGTTATACTATACTTAACTGATAGGCTTTTTTAGTTATACCATGATATCAAGATGGTCCTGCTGATGGGTTGCATCGCCAATTGAATGTTTTGATTTTTGACAAGTTTTGTCTTCGTCGGTGTTGGTTGCTGATGAGGATAGGTTGAGTTTTATTTATAGATAGAATTCCTCGATGTAATTTATCTAGATAATTCATGATTCTTGAGCTGTGGATAGAGTCTACAAAACAAACCGATGGAAATGGAGCATAATTTTTTTCAACTTGTCACACTTGAATGTCAGGGATAAGATAATTACGGCTCGGGGATAGGAACCGGGGCAAAGGACTTTGGTTAGTATATAGATTGAACCTCACCTGAAAGAGTGAAACTTTGGCCGGAGCACTTGAGTTGATACAATTTGCTTTGATCAATATTAGAATGCTACCACCATGTTTGAGCAAATGATGAGCGTTCGAATAGAGGATTCCTGCTTGATTTGATTGTGCTACATAGGCAAAGATGACATCTACCATTCCTCCGAGCATCCTGCACTTGTGTCATGCATCTTCAACAATAGCTAATCGTACAAAACAGATAAAAATATCTGTAACAATTATTTTCTGATCGTTCCAATATATGAAATGAGAAGTGTAAAGTGGAGTACTGACAGATGAGGTTTGTTCGTTTCTTAGCCATGTTATTAATCAAATCGCTTCCACTTCAATGAGAAAACACGACAGCATAGACTGTACCAGTAGGACCTACTACATCAGCCACATGACTAACACTCGTTCCACTTGTTGCACCAAGATAAAGAGATTTCCTTCCAGGAGCAATGTAAATATCATCTAAACCACCTGAACCACCAGCTGCTAATTTCAATCGGAAAGGATTCCATACTCGATATCCAATCTTTTCAAGTCAAGTTTACAGTTTGTCTTGGATCATTGATTGCGATTGAAACTTTGGTTTGAATCGATTTTCTTGAATTTGATTTGAAGTGGAATAGGATTTAAATTTTCTTGATCTAAAGTTGACTGAATTGAAGAAGTTGAAGATGATGCAAACTGAGGTGAACTTGATTATGAAGTAGTAGATGGAAGGAGATGAGGTCTAATTTGGCCAACTATTTCCAAAAAACTTAAACTTATTGTTAGATCTATGGTCAAGAAATGATGATATCAAAAGTAATACTTAACTGATAGCCGCACTTGCTCTCGAAGTCATGCAATGATATCAAGATCTGGTGGAGTTGCATTACCACTTGAACGTGTTTTTTAATGAGGTTCACTTGTGTTGTTGGCATCACTAATGAGGATAGGTTGAGTCAAATGTATCAATAAAAGTCCTTCATGAGGTAACCTTTCTGAATGATTAATGATTCTTGAGCTCCGAATGCAGTTGTCTACAAAACAAACAGATGAAAAGGAAGGATAAGTATCAACTTGTCACACCTCAATAATTATTCTAAATATGAAATCAAATCAAAATAATTGATGATGGTACCTAGATTTCCCAAACCGGCGTAGTTTGAAGCAGCCGTCGAGCAGTTCCACAGCAGCAAGGTTAATGGGCCATGTGATTTGTGAAAACTGTGCAGTGTGGTAAAAAGTCTTGATACTTCAGGAGAATTGTGATGCTTGATTTTCCGGGAATCCATGTGCTGTGAAGAGTCCATGATGTCCGTTAATGATTGACAGTGGTCATTGTTTTGGGAGAATTTCTGAGGTAAGGATTGACGTGGCGGGTATATGAGGGTATATGGTTGCATTCAAAAATGACAGTGGATGAAAATTGATTCACATTGGTGGATTTCTGCCTATGTACAAAACTCAAAAATCACGCTAATGGTGTATTTTTGTGAGTTTTGTAAGCGAACCCCTTCCAGGTTTAACTTGTATGATACCTGCTCATGTTATGTAAACATGAACAGGTACGAGAAAATTGGGGTCAGGGTGATCAACTCTGAGACAGCGGGTGGGCCTGCCTATTGTCTGTTACTATGTCAGCCTGAGACTTAAAACAGGTGGCTTTAAGAGAATCATAGCTGAATACTTGCGTACTTGATGCTTCTTGTTGGCTTTGTTACAGTAAGTTTACTGAGGTAAATTCAAGCCTTTATAACAGGAGCTGGCGACTCCATGTTGTCTTAGGTGCGGAATGGCTACCGCTGCCTGGTACTCGCTGAAAGGTCTGTTCCAATCAGGGCCTTCTGAGGTAGGTACAAGGGTACTCCTGTCTCAGGTTTACAAGTCAATCGTAATAGTCTAGTTTCTACGCATTGTTAAAGAGACAGCTTTATCAACAACATGCAAACGCCGCGAAGCGTGCCGCCGCACCACCTTCACAACGATAGCGCGGCAATTCACCGCAGTGTCATGACAAACCTATCGCAGTGTCGTCGCAGTGATTAAACATTGGATTGCGAAGGCGGCGCGGCTGAAAAAATCGCCGTGCGCTGTCGCAGTAACCTTCTTCTGCCTTTGGGTAATCATTTTTAAATTCATTTAACAAATCTTGAGCATTACCTAAAGCATCTTCTTTCTCCCACGAGTCCTCTTCTGGCCCGTATCCTTTCCAGATCAGCAAATATTCTAAATTGCCTCTTCTTCGTCTACAATCTAAGATTTCTTCAACTTCAAATTCTTCAACCCCATCAAGAACAATTGGCGCTGGAGTTGCTTGTTTTCTCTCGTCCACTACTGTATACGTAGGGTTCTATTAGGAGGGGGTGTAGCAAGTGGGTTGAGGTGATTAACCGTCTGACCCAACTCAGATTGTCAGGATAGTGTTGTTACAGGAATCTGGAGACCTCAAGGAGGTAACCTTGTGACCACTTCCAATAAAAATATTCTCTTAAACTGTTTAGGATTAAGGTTGTTTTCTTACTGGGGGTGGTGTGGGGGTATGCCCCGGTGGTAGACGTCTACCACCAAAATGACCGGCTCAACCGGGTTGAGAACAATTGAGAGTCATGGAATGACGTCTCGTTAAGATGCAGGACGCGTATTTCTGTTTGTGCATAACGCTTAAGGTTTCTCTCTTGTTCTTTCTAACATCATGACATCATAATGTGTTCGAGTGATTCATATAGATACAACAGTACCATTCTTACTTTGTTGTTCTTTTTCTCATTGAACTCATTATTAGTTTTCACAATCTTTCGTTTACTTAGATTGTGATTTCTTTTTGATCATATCAGTCTCTTGCGTAGACTGACATTAGATCTCCAATCTTCTCAGGTGTTAGTTGTGCTTTTTCTTTTCTAAAATAGTTCTCTTACAAATATTTGCAATCGAACTCATTATTAGTTTTCACAATCTTTCGTTTACTTAGATTGTGATTTCTTTTTGATCATATCAGTCTCTTGCGTAGACTGACATTAGATCTCCAATCTTCTCAGGTATTGTGATTTCTTTTCGATCATATCAGTCTCTTGCGTAGACTGACATTAGATCTCCAATCTTCTCAGATTACGAAATCTCTACCTGTAGTTCTCATTAGAACAAGGAGACCCGATCTGAGGTCTTCTCTTCCCCAATACTCACGGGGGACTGAGCCGTGAGCCTAGAGAAGACCCCATCCCTCGGTCCTCCGTGAGACCCCTACACCGTTACTTGGTATCCACCGCCTGCATAAAAGCGAGTAAAGAATGTTTCCATATACTTCAAATTCAGTAATCAGGCTGTACCAACATTTGAGTTCACCTGTACAATACATATTAAAAGGTCCAGAATCTTTCGGAAACAACCAGAAGAGACTGAGGCGTGCGGTGGCAAACTATCTGTCGATCCCCTTCAAGAGATTTCCCCTGTCTTGTCAAGTACGCTGAAGCTGCACTCATCTTTGATTGGGTCTGATCACTGGGAACACACTCCTCTCCAATCAGACGTGTTCACTCCTGGACAGAAGGGACAATGAACTCAAACCATGGGCAACGCTTGAGACATCCGAATTATGTGGGTTGTACCCATTCCAAATCTTTCAGTAATTTTACCGTTGACTTTAGGTCTTTTGCCGAGAACTTTCTCAGGTAAACCATATACGCGTCCGATGCCCAACGTCCACATCTTTTCAGTTTGTCTTTATCAGCACCCGGATTCCAACGGAGCGATGCACCGCCAATCCTAAATGAGTGTCCGTGAAGGAGCTGCTTCTTCTTTGAGCGTTTTGTATTCCAGATCGACCTGAACTGATTTATGGTTTCCACCTTTCCCAGACGGCACTTCCGTCCGCACTTTGAGTAAGAGAAGATTTTGTCTCTGGGTTTCCTAGGTTTGAAAGCAAACCACGACTCCAGCATCAAAACAGGGTCCAGCAGAGAATCCGTCCGATGTAGGTAAATCCATTGAGTTTCTCCTGGGTTAGCTGTCTTAGCGTTATGGACAGCAATTTTCACGTAGGATCTATCCTCTGCCCAGACCAGATCGTCCCATCTCGGCATCGATTTCTTCGAATCGTCTGTGATCAGTTCGCCTAGCCTGGCCGTTCCCCAAAACGCCACGAGAGCTACCGTTAGCATGGCCAGCTCTCTCTCGCCCTGGACTGACAACTCGTCGAACAGGATGACAAGATCGGATACCAGGACAGGAGGATGCTTCTTATCCGCCTCCGCCAGCTTTGCCTCGATTGTTTTTGATGCCTTCAGCAGTGGCCAAATGGAGTCATCAACTTTGGTAGGGTAGTCGACTCCATGGTAAGTGTGCCATGCCTTAATCCCCGCTATATAAGCCTTCAGTGTCGACAATCTAACTGATTCATCTTTTATTGCAAACTTCTTGTCTTTGATAGAGGCCCACACCGCAAACTCCCTCATTAGCGATGCTGAGATGGGGAGAAGGAGTGACTTGTCTACTCCCTTGACCGTGGAGAACCTGTGTAGCTTGATGATGCCCGAGTTGTAGCCCTTCAGGGTTCCGTTACTCCAGGCTCCCCGCAACAAGTGTCGTTTTACATCATCTGACTCCGACTCATTGACTCCTAGTGCGTCCTTCCGGAATGCCCAGAAAGGCTTCAGTACCCTTTGCAAATCTTTAGGATCGCTTCCCGGTTTGGACTTGGTTTTCTTCATCGTGAAGAGTCAATTTAGATGGATTGTTCTGGGACGGTGATGTTCGACGGATCGGCTGGAATTTTTGGCTCCAGAGAAACTTGCCACATCAAGCCAGATAAGTCGTTTGGGATCTCCACTCGGACTTCGTGAGCCCACGAAAGATCGCCCAAAATCCCTCTGGATAAATCATCTGCCGGATTGTCGTTAGATGAGACGCGTTTTGCCTTCACATTACATTCTAACTTGGTGAGTAATCGTTGGATTTCTTTCCACTCTTTGTTCACCCAAATGTCTTTTGACTTCCTTTTGTCTACCGTAGATTGTGACGTTGTGTTGTCCGTCCACACTACAAAATGTTTCCCCGCTACCTTTCTCAGCTGTCTCACTACTAGCAGGCCCAGGCGGATTGCCACCGTTTCTGCCCAAGCGATGGACCGCCTTTCGTTCGATAGGTTCAGCAGTTGCCATCCTTCCACGAACTTGAAACACGCCCAGTGTTGACCTACCAGTACTCCGATTCCAAAGGACGAGGATGCATCACCTGCCCAATTGATCTCTAGGGCTTTCAATTCCGGTATAAGGGGTCTGGAGTTAAAGGAGCCAAGGCACAGGTCCCATTCTTGTAAGTCTATTCTGGCTCTATTGGTCAGGTGTTGAAGAGCCTCCTTATTTTTCCAACTTTTCATCATTCGATAGAGTGAATTAACGTATGTTTCATGTGTGGGACAATGTTCATCGTGT